GTGTTTTGCAATTACGAATTTTTTCATCCTGAGAGGCCATTTGGGCAGAGGTTTTCTAGCTGTGTTCTGCCAAGTCCGGGGGCTGCCGTGCAGTTTAAGGTGGGCTTGGGGAGGTTCGGCCATCTCAGCAAGTTGGGCCCCCTCGCTTTCCTCCTCACCCTCGTGGCCCAGTCTCTTCAATTATTTATTCTGCACAAGATTCTGTAGAAGAGTTTCCCTTGAGGAAAAAAAAAAAGTTTATATTGTATTTTAAAAGTTTGGAAACTGTTGCATGCTTGGCAGTTGTTTTTACAGATCTAAAAATTCTTTGATATCCTTCTTTCACACTATTTTATGAATCTGGCAGAAAAAGGTTTTGGTTCTTTATGCTGGAATCTTGATCTATAATTTACACAAATACTATTTGTCTGTCTCTTTGCCTTTCTCCTTCCAGCCTTTCTCTGGCTTATGAGCATTATTGAGCATGTACTTGTGTGACCACAGTATAGGATTTTGGTCCTGTACAGTATACAATAAAATCTTTCATCTGTAGCATATTGATTTCTCAGCTGACATTTCAGTTTAAATTAAAAAACATTTTTTTAATGTTTATTTTTGAGAGAGAGAGCGAGCATGAGTGGGGGAGGGGCAGAGAGAGAGGGAGACACAGAATCGGAAGCAGGCTCCACGCTCCGAGCTGAGCTGTCAGCACAGAGCCCGATGCGGGGCTCGAACCCACGAACTGTGAGATCATGACCTGAGCTGAAGTCGGACACTTAACCACTGAGCCACCCAGGTGTCCCATCAGCTTAAATTTTTAAAATAAAATTGGATACCTTTACCTTTTAAAAATACTTACAATTAGGGAAGTTTGACTTACACAGATGAATTATGTCCATCTTCGGTACGTAGAGGAAGTACCTATCTGGATGCAGGGTTAACACTTGTGAAAACTAGAAAGTTGGGAACTACAAACCAGTATAGCTGGGATATATAGCCTAGGAATTACCTAAGTCTGCAGGAATTTTATACTGCAGGTCTGTGAGATAGTCACTAAAGTGGTGTTATTTGTATGTACCTCAGTAGGTAAATCACTAGAAGAAACTAATTTGAGTACGGTATGTTCAGTGAAGTCTTTTAGCTCAGGGAATGTCTAAAAATTGGTGACAGAACCAGTCCTTTCTCTCCTCCAAGCACAGCACCTTTTTCCTCGAGGAACAAAATTCCCCAGTTCCCTCTACCCCAAATTTAAACATTTTGTGGTCAGTTTGAATCATCTGAATATGCATGTTTGTAATGTATCTGAAAATACAGAATAATTAACTACATGCAGCATGTTCTAGGGTGGGGAGAGAGGAGAATTTGACCTGGAAATTTAAGATGTTTAGTGGTTAAAAAAATGTTTATGAGCTTCCATAAGAAATAAAATAATGCATTATAGTTTCTATTTCCTATGTTGTAAAGAGGAGAGAAATCCTGTTTTCGTATATGATGACTCGTAGATGCAGTTAAACTTCTGTGCAGTGGGTAGAATAATGCAGCTGTCTTTGCAGTAAATGGGTAGCATCTCTTCTCCTGAGGAATCCCTTTACTTTCTTAATTTTTTATTACCCCTTCTTCTCAAGATATTTATTATAGAATTATTAAGACTTTATTTTTTTAATGATTCTTTAAAAAAATTTTTTTAACGTTTATTCATTTTTTGAGAAAGAGATGGAGACAGAGCGCGAGGGGAGGAGGGGCAGAGATAGAGAGAGACACAGAATCTGAAGCAGCTCCAGGCTCTGAGCTGTCAGCACAGAGCCTGATGTGGGGCTCAAACCCACGGACTGAGAGATCGTGACCTGAGCCAAAGTCGGACGTTTAACCGACTGAGCGCCTCCCCCCTGACCCAGGTGCCCCAAGACTTTATTTTTTTAAAAGCAGTTTTAGATTTACAACAACATTAAGAGGGAGGTACAGAGATTTCCTGTATCGCCTCCTCCATTACCAACATCACTCACCAGCATGCTACATTTGTTACTAAGGATGAACTTACATTCACACATCCTGGTCACCCAAAGTCCATAGTTTACTTCAGGTTTTATTCTTGATGTGTATGGCCTATGGGTTTGTACAAATGTGTAATGACATATACCGTCATTGTAATAGCATACAGAGTATTTTCACTGCCATAAAATCCCTCTGTGCTCTGCCTATTCATCTCTCCCCTCCCTCCACATCTCCATAACCACTGATATGTTTATTGTCTATATAGTTCTGCTTTTTCAAGAATGTCATATAGTTGGAATCATATAGTATGTAGCCTTTTGAGACTGGCTTCTTTTACTTAGTAATGTGCATTTAAAGTTCCTTCATGTCTTTTCATGTCTTGGTAGCTCATGTTTTTAGTGCTGAATAATATTCTATTCTTTGGATATACCAAAGTTTATTTATCCACTCATCTACTAAAGGACATTTTGGTTGCTTCCAAGTTTTGGCATTTATAAATAAAACTGCTGTGAACATACATGTGCAGTTTGTTGTGAAAACAATGTTTTCAGCTTCTTTGGGTAGATGCCAAGAAATACAATTGTTGGATTGTGTGGTAAGAGTATATTAAATTTTGTAAGAAAACACTAAGTTGCCTTCCAAAAAGTCTGTAACATTTTGCATTCATACCAGCAGTGTATGAGAGGTCATGGTGCTCTACATCCTCACCAGCTTTTGGTATCATCAGTGTTCCAGATTTTGGTCATTCCAGTAGATGTGTAATTATTGTATTAATATGCATTTCCCTGATGACATCTAATGTAGATCACCATTTCATGTTTATTTGCCTCTGTATATCTTTTTTGGTGAGATGCCTTTTCAGGTCTTTGGCCCATTTTTTAACGGGGTTGTTTGTTTCCTTATTCATAAGTTTTAAGAATTCTTACTCTAATTTCTCCCGGTCTATGGCTTGTCTTCTCATTCTCTTGATATTGTCTTTCACAGAGTGGAAGTATTCAGTTTTAATCAAGTTGAACTTATCAGTTCTTTCTTTCAGGGCTCATGTCTTTAGTGTTGTATTTAAAAAAACATTCCTATACCCAAAGTTATCTAGGTTTTCTTCTATGCTATCTCCTAGGAGTTTTATAGTTTTGCATTTTACATTCACATCTTTGATCCATTTTGAGTTGATTTTTGTGACAGGTAGAAGGTCTTTGTCTAAATTTATTTTTTTGCTTGTGGATGTCCAGTTGTCCCAGCACCGTTTATTGAAGAAACTGTCTTTGTTCCATTGTATTGCCTTTGTTCCTTTGTCAAAGTTCAGTGGACCGTATTTATGGGGGTCCATTTCTGGACTCTGTATTCTGTTCCATTAAACTTTTTGTCTGTTTTTTCACTAGTACTATACTCTCTTGATAACCATAACTTTATAGTAAATCTTGAAGTCAGGTAGCATCAGTCATCCAACTCTTTTCTTTTTCTTCAATATTGTTTTGGCTTGTCTGAGTCTTTTGCATCTCCATATAAACTTTGGAATCAGTTTGTCAATATTCATAAAATAATTTGCTTGGATTTTGATTGTGATTGTGTTGAATCCATAGATCACATTGGGAAGAACTGACATCTTGACAATATTGAGCCCTCCTATCCATGAATATGGAATATCTCCCCGTTTATTTAGTTCTTCTTTGATTTAATTCATCAGAGTTTTGTAGTTTCCCTTATGCAAATCTTGTGCTTCTTTTGTTATATTCATACTTTAATTTTTTCAAATGTTAATGTAAATAGTGTTGTGTTTTTAATTTAAATTTCACATGTTCATTGTTGGTATGTAGAAAAGTGACTGACTTTTGTGTATTAACCTTCTATCCTGCAACCTTGCTATAATTGCTTATTAATTCCAGGAAGGTTTTTTTTTTCTTTTTTCTTTAAGTTTTTATTTTAATTCCAGTTGGTTAACGTACAGTGTTATATTAGTTTCAGTGTTATATTAGTTTCAAGTGATTCAACAATTCTGTGTATAACCTTGTGCTCCTCATGACAAGTGCACTCCTTAATTCCCATCACATATTTAAGCCATCCCCCATCTTTCTCCCCTCTGTTAACCATCAGTTTTTATCTCTAATTAACAGTCTGTTTTTTGCTTTGTCTCTCTTTTTTCCCTTTGCTCATTTGTTTTGTTTCTTAAATTCCACACATGATTGAAATTATATGATATTTGTCTTTCTCCGACTGACTGATTTCTCTTAGCATTATACTCTCTGGCTGCATCCATGTCATTGTAAATGGCAAGATTTCATTCTTTTTTATGGCTGAGTACTATTCCATGGTGTGTATGTATGTGTGTGTGTGTGTGTGTGTGTGTGTGTGTGTGTGTACACACCACATGTTCTTTATCCATTTATCAATCAGTGGATACTTGGGTTGCTTCCGTATCTTGGCTATTGTAAATAATGCTGCTAGAAACATAGGGGTGCATGTATCCCTTTGAATTGGTATTTTTGTATTCTTTGGGTGAATATCCAGTAGTGTGATTACTGGATTGTAGGCCAGTTGTATTTTTAACTTTTTGAGGACTCTCCCAGGGGGTTTTTTGTTGTTGTCGATTCTTTCATATTTTCTACATAGATGACCATGTTATCCTTGAGCAAAGACAGCTTTATATCTTCCTTCCCAATGTGTATACCTTTTATTAACTTTTCTTGCCTTATTGCAAGGATATCCAGTTGGTGTTGAAAAGGAGTAGTAAGAGGGGATATCCTTGCCTTGTATCTGATCTTAGTGAGAAGGCTTTGAGTTTCTCACTGTTAAGTATGATGTTAGCTATACAGTTTTTGTAGATAGTCTTTATCAAATTGAGAAGGTTGCCCTCTATTCCCAGTTTTTATCATGAGAGATTTTTGTTTTTTTGGGTCACGAATGGGTTATTATAAATGAACTATTATTTTATGTTTTTATGCAAGTACAACTGGGTTTTATTTTAGTCTTCCTTATTCATCATTTATTCTTTTATTGTTTCACTTTTATCTATTGGTAACCTGTGTTTCTAGGCTCAGCTTGCCAATCGGAAACAGAAATTAGAGTCTGTGGAGCTGTCCAGCCAGTCGGAGATTCAGCATCTGAGCAGTAAGCTGGAGCGGGCCAATGACACTATCTGTGCCAATGAGTTGGAAATAGAGCGCCTCACCATGAGGATCAATGACTTAGTGGGAACCAATATGAATGTTATACAAGAGCAGCGGCAAAAGGAAGAAAAATTAAGGGAATCTGAAAAACTGTTAGAGGTGTGTTTTAAAATTACTTCCATTGCGGGTGGAGCACCTGGGTGGCTCAGTCTGTTAAGCATCTGAATCTTGGTATCAGCCCTGATCAGGATCTCACAGTTTTGTGAGTTCGAACTCTGCTTTGGGCTCTATGCTGACAGTGTGGAGCCTGTTTGGGATTATTTCTCTCCCTCTCTCTGTCCCTCCCTTGCTCAATGCTTTCTCACTATCTCTCAAAATAAATAAATAAAATGTGTGTATGCATGTTTTTAAGAGAAAATAATTAACCTCGAACTAGGTTCCAGAATCCATGGTTTCTTTCTTACCCTGCTGCCAGCGGATCAGACATTGATAGCTTTATTAATATGGTACCTGTTATAGTCTGACTCCCTGGCTTCCTTTCCTCATGAAATAGAAAAATTGTAATAACACCTGATTTTTTTTCCTGAGCATTTTTCAGATTCTCCAGGAAGAAAAGAGGGAACTGAAGGCAGTTCTTCAGTCTCAAGAAAATTTCATCCATGAGGAAAGAATGCAGAAGGAGAAGCTACAAGCAAAATTAAAGCCAACTGACAGTCAACACACAGTACAGGCCGTGAGGTATATTTAATCCTAGATATTAATTGTAGCCATTTGGTTGTTTGGCATTGAGCACCAGTTTTAATACTGCATATTCATAATTTTGTGTTTGATCACATTATGAGTTTTCCTATTCAGTTTTAATTTCTGAGTTAAGTTTTTATGGTGTTATAAAATTTTGTGTGGTTAGTTTTTTTCTGCCTCCAGTTTGGGTCCTTAACCAGAAGACTGTAATGTTTAGAAAGTTAGAAAGTGCTTGGTCAATCTGTAGCCTTGGTGAAACTCCAAATGTGAAAGGAATTAGAGTCCACGTCCCCTGGGAAGCCTCCGTTCCTTGGTAAAATAGGTCATGATTTGTAGCTGCTTATCCACATCATTAATAAGCCAGCTATTGAGATAACCCTTCTTAAAAAAAATCCTAAAACTCATTTCTACATATGAATTATTGCCATGAGGTTTGTAGTAGAAAGTAATAGAGGAACTATGCTCCTGATTTAAGTCTGGTACACATTTCTATTCTTTACAGAACTTTCCTGTAACTTTTTAGTTTCTTTGGCTCAACGTATCAAGTGGAAACAAAATTTTTGGTTTTTTTGTCTTTTTCCCTTGAAAAACAGGCCAAATCCCAGTTGAGAAAGGAGTAAACTGCTGCTGACTTCTTTGAGAAGCATCATCTCTTCCTTCTTTACTCTCCCAAACATTCTCTTTGTAAAGCAGGAATCAAGCTGAAGAGTTCTAAAGAGTTTCATTACCAAAAACAGTTGAGAAATATGAACTGATTGTGCATTGTTTATTTGCAAAGATCAGAAACCTTGAACAGTCCTCTTGTGTCCTTCGTTAGGTCACCAGACGAGCCGCAGGCAGAAAGGAGGTACACCTCGCAAGGGCAGGAGGACTTGGGCAACGTGCTATCTCAGCTGGATCTCACCCACAATAGTGAAGAACTTCTGCAGGCAGAGGTGACTCGTTTGGAAGGCAGGTAGATAATTACATACCCTTTCAAGAATGTTCACGTTGTTAAAAATGATTTTTGATCATCATATTGAGAAACTAATATAACAGTCTTATTGAAAAAATAAGGTTTTTTTTCTCTAGTTTCCACAAATAGGCTAACTTCTTATTTCAGTGAGAAAACAGAAGTAAGAAAAGGAGGGATTCTTGATTTTTCTCCCACCAAATCTACCGGTCTGCCTGCATCTGTGCCCTTAGTCTGTTAGAGTGGATGAGTGGATGGATGACATGTCTGTCCCCTACCACTTCACTTGTGTCCTGTTCTTCTCTCTTTTACATCGTCAAGCTCTTCCTCTCTGCTGAATCATTCCCATGGGCATAAAGTAGGCTTAGTATTTCCTGTGTTCGGAGAAAATGGAAACCCTTCTTGAATCCTGTATCCCTGTCAAGTCGTTTCCATATTTCTCTGTTCTCCTTCAGAGTCAGATCTGTCAGAAGAGTTGTCTGTACTGACGCACTAATCTTGATCTTGCATTTCTCCCCGTAGAATGCCTTCAGTTAGGCTCTACTGTCGAGCGGCCACCTCACTGGAGCTGCTCTCAGCGAGGCACCCTGGGCACGTGGCGCTCCTTCCTCCTATTCAGAAGTGCCCTTGGGTTGTTTCCTGGGTGCTGGTTGAAAACCTGATCTGTGCCGTAGCATGCCCATGCTTGCTTTGTTGTCATGCTTGTGAACTGTTTTTGTTTGTCATACCTCTAAACTTTGTGACTGGGAAGAGTTTGATATTTTGTGTGAAACATGAACCATGATCATTTGTACATGAGCACTTTCTGTATGTAAAAGATTTTAAACTGCACAAACTATTAGCCTTTAGGCAAAAAAAACAACAAAAATATTGCCATTTTACCCTTTTGAGTAAAACATTTTTTTGTGTGTTTACTGTTATTTCTTTGGTTTTTGGAAACCACCAAGTATTTTCTTTACTTATTAAATATCATGTGTGCACATATGTATGTGTGCACACACATACACATAGTTTATGCTTTATTTCTTTTGCACCTTGGAATACTTAACATATTCTTGGTTATCATTATTGGGGTGTATGTGTACACTTTAGATTGAATAAAATAAAGGTTATTATTCTTTTTGACATTGGAACTAAAATTTACCTTCCTATCATAGATTTTCCATCGATGCACTTTTTAGTATTTTAGGTATGGTTTACCGTGCTCCCACAGGCTCTAAAGACTTACCTCATGTTTCTGACTTGCAGTGTGACCTTGGACCTGTAGCCTCTTTAAGCCCCTGTTTTCCCATCTCTAGCTAAGACAAGAGTATCTGTGATTCTTCTCTCTCTGCCTCAGTGTTTGACACACTGTACTTACATACGGGTACCAAATAAACAAGCATTCTACCACATTTAGAAGTAGGTAAACTTGAAATAAATGGACACAAACACCAGTGTTCAGTAATAAACAATGCCTTTAAAAATATTTTCTCTATCAAAGGCAAATTGAAAAAGGGACCCTTTTTTAGACAGTTTATTTATGTCATTCAGTTTGAACAAAATATTGCCTGAGAAAGGAGCAGAAGGATGTTATTAGCAGAAATGAGTGGTGAGATAACAGAGGCGTGGTGCCCTGAGGTTCTCATATCTGGTGAGGGATGGATTCTTTTTTTTTTTAATTTTTTTTTTTTTTCAACGTTTATTTATTTTTGGGACAGAGAGAGACAGAGCATGAACGGGGGAGGGGCAGAGAGAGAGGGAGACACAGAATCGGAAACAGGCTCCAGGCTCCGAGCCATCAGCCCAGAGCCTGACGCGGGGCTCGAACTCACAGACCGCGAGATCGTGACCTGGCTGAAGTCGGACGCTTAACCGACTGCGCCACCCAGGCGCCCCAAGGGATTGATTCTTAAGTAAGGGTGACAGGTTAGAAACTGTTTAAAGAAGAGTATTTTTTAGGTAATCAATATGTGGGTTTCAGGATTTTTGCATTACATCTGTGATCATATTTTTGTCATGCACACAGCTTGGAGTCTGTGAGTGCAACATGTAAACAGCTGAGCCAAGAACTAATGGAAAAATATGAAGAACTGAAGAAGATGGAAATATATAACAACGAGTACAGGGCAGAGATTAAGAAGGTAAAAATCTGCCTGTGTTTGCAAAGTTGTGTTTATAGACTGAGCTGGAGGTTGGGAGGTCATCGGAGTTATTTTTAATGAGAGAAAAATACAGTACAAAGAGCCACTTGATATTCAGGATTAGCTATGCACCTGGAATGTGCTTCGGTAACGTCTTCGTCATCCTCAGGGATGCCGTAGAAATGTTTTTGATATAATTGAAGCCTGTCCTTTTTGAACGCTATACTTTATTTTAAACGTGTTTTGATGAAAAGCTTTCTAAAAGTTATACACTTTTTTGCTTGCTAAAAGATACTATATGAACTAGCATTTAATATTTTCTTACTGACTGGAGCTGGTTATGGCTGATTTTCCTATGCTGTGTGGTGTGGTTTTAATACCCTCACTGGCTGTTGAGGTATCAGAGCTGACTGTTTCCACACCGATGGGCCTTGGCTGTTACGTTTGTTGACTCGTATTTTTTATTACTTATTTGAGATTACTTCTAGTTTCTTCCTCTTCCATTTCTATTGTCTTCTGTGGACAAGGAAGCCATATAAACAAAGTTTTTAGTTTTGCACCTAAAGAGAATCACAGGTGTTGTCCTCTAAATAATGTGTGCATGGACTTTGACACTGGTTTTCAGCATTTGACTAACACATCTCTCCCTGATTTGCGATTAATAAATTATCATGAGTATAGCCATTAGACCTTCGGTGTAGACATACAACTTGGTAAATTGCTAATTTTTTGCAGACTTAAGGTAAAAATTCATGTCTTGAGGTAAGGTAAAAATTACCTTACTATTTTAACTATTAACATATCTGTCTATCTAATGTGCTTTGTCTTCATTTTTTATGCTTTCCTTTCTGTTTCTTTGTAGTTGAAAGAACAGATTCTGCAGGCTGAACAGAGTTACAGTTCTGCATTAGAAGGAATGAAGATGGAAATCTCTCAGCTGACTCGGGAGTTACACCAGCGAGACATCACTATTGCCTCCACTAAAAGCTCCTCCTCTGACATGGAAAAGCGACTCAAAGCAGAGATACAAAAGGCAGAAGAAAAAGCAGTAGAACATAAGGTGAAGCTTGAACAAAAACTCTCTTCATTTGAAGTGTTTTTGAAGACTGAATTGAGTACAGAGATAATTTCCATAGTATTTTTTTTTAATGTTTTAATGTTTATTTATTATTGACAAAGAGAGACAGAGCATGAGTGGGGGAGGGGCAGAGAGAGAGGGAGACACAGAATCCAAAACAGGCTCCAGGCTCTGAGCTGTCAGCACAGAGCCTGTCGTGGGGCTCAAACTCACGGACAGCGAGATCATGACCTGAGCCGAAGTCAGACGCTCAACCAACTGAGCCACCCAGCCCCCCCCATAGTATTTTTTTAAAAAAATGTTTATTTACCTTGAGAGAAAGAGTGTGAGCGGGGGAGGGGCAGAGAGAGAGAGAGAAAAGTGAGAATCCCAAGCACGAGTATGGGAGCACTGAACCTCGAGCCCGACTTGGGGCTTGCTCCCACGACCTGTGAGATCATGACCTGAGCCTATATTAAGAGTTGGACACTTGGGGTGCCTGGGAGGCTCTGTTGGTTGAGCATCCAACTCTTGATTTCGGCTCAGGTCATGATCTTATGGTTCATGAGTTCAAGTTCTGCATCAGGCTCTGTGCTGACAGTGTGGAGCCTGCTTGGGATTCTTTGTCTCTCTCTCTCTCTCTCTCTCTCTGCCCCTCCCCTGCCCTCTCTCTCTCTCTAACTAAATAAATAAACTTAAATTGTTTAAAAAGTAGTCAGACACTTAACCGACTGAGCCACCTAGGTGCCTCTCCATAGTATTTAATTCAGCAAATTTGTATTAGACTCCTGCTTTGGGCTGAGGGTGTGCTGGTTAACAAGCATTCTGTGAGGATCATTGGGGAGGTGAGAGTGACTAGAGTAGAGAGGCTGTGTCTCTTGTATCTGGTGAGAGTGCGATGTGTCTGCGTTGACAGACTAGAGCACACAAGGGATGGGACTGGGAAGCAGGAACTCCTGAAGGGCCCTGCCAGCTTGTGAAAGGTTTTAGTGTTCTCTTGAGGCCTCTAGACAATGGCTGTAAGCGGGAGTCAAGGGTCTCTATGGTTGTCATATGGAGAGTGAGCGAGGAGGCAAAGAGACCACTATGGATACAGGAGTGACATGGTGGCCTGAGCAGTGGGCAGGGAAGGTAGAAGGAAATGGAGGAATTCTGAGGTACGTGGCTGGTAAAATCAACTGGGCTTTGTAGTTGCTTGGACCCAGAGGGCAAGTTAGAGTTAAGTTAAGTATTGCAACATGGGCAATTGAGTAAAAGTGATGCTCTTTAGTGAAATAAAAGATGGGAGCAGATTGGGGCAGATACTGCATTTGTATGAAAGTTACACAAAATAGGGAAGCTGGTGGAGGGAACTGGTTTGAGATAAAGGCTGGACTTTCATATGGAAATATCTAATAGTTGATTTCACAGAAGGCTGGAGTTCAAGATTAAAATCGAGGTGAGGCATTTGGCTGTGGAAATCTCTGCATGGAGATAGCCTTTGAAACACCCTGAGAGACTGAGAAATCATGGGAAGAAAGCATAGAGATAAAGAGCTGAGACTGAACCAAACTTAGGAAACTACTCATTTAGGGTAAAAAGGTTTTGGAATAGAGCTGAGGAAAGAAGGGGATAAGGAGGGAAATGAGATAGTTTTCACAAAGGAAGCAGGAAACCAAGGAAGGCAGGAGTCTTTTCAAGTTGGAATGGCCAAGCAGACAACTTGAGGAGAATGAGGACTGAAGGTAAGTTACAGGCATGCCTCCTCTTTTTGCACTTTGGTTTGAGCCCTGTGATAAGCAAATCTCTTGGTGCCATCTTTCCAACAGTATTTGCTCGTGTTTCTGTGTTACATTTTGGTAATTCTTGCAATATTTCGTAAATGTTCTCATTATTATTATGTTTGTATGGTAATCTGTGATCAGTAATTATAACTTGCCAGAAGTTCAGGTGATGGTTAGCATCTTCTAGCAAAAAAAATATTTTATTTTCATTTTTTAAAAATAATTTATTTTTGAGAGAGAG